TCTGTTGGCCGTGTTGAGGGGCCTCAGTGGGCAGCGCGCTGGAACCTCTGTGGGCGCGCTTGGGGTCTCTGTGGGCTGGGGCCTCTGTGGACTGCGTCGGGAGCCTCAGTGGGCAGCGCGCTGGTGCCTCTGTGGGCGCGCTTGGGGCCTCTGCGGGCTAAGGCCTCCGTGGGCGCGTTTGGGGCCTCAGTGGGCTGTGTCGGAGGCCTCGGTGGGCAACCCGCGGGGGCCTCAGTGGGCGCGCTCGGGGCCTCTGTGGGCTGGGGCCCTCTGTGGGCGCGCGCGGGGCCTCTGTGGGCGTTGCCGGGGGGCCTCAATAGGCAGCGCGCTGGAGACTCCGCGGGTGCGCTTAGAGCCTGTGGGCTGGGGCCTAAGTGGACAGCGCGCTGGGGCCTCTGTGGGCGCGCTTGGGGCCTCTGTGGGCGCGATTGGGCCTCTGTGGGCTGGGGCCTCTGTGGGCGCGCTGGGACCTCTGTGGGCTGTGCCAGAAGGCTTCAGTGGGCAGCGTGCGGGGACCTCGGCGCGGTTGGCGCCTCTGTAGGCAGGAGCCTCTGCGGGCGCGTGTGGGGCCTCTGTACGAAGTCGGGGCCTCAGTGGGCAGCGCGCTGGGGCCTCCGTGGGCACCCTCAGGGCCTTTGTGGGCTGCGTCGGGGGCCTCAAAGGGCAGCGCGCGGGAGCCTCTGTGGGCGCGCTTGGGGCCTCTGCGGGCTGGGGCCCCTGTGGGCGCGCTAGGGGCTTCTGTGGGCTGTGCCAGAGGGCTTCAGTGGGCAGCGCGCTGGTGCCTCCGTGGGCGCGCTTGGGGCCTCTGTGGGTTGGGGCCTCTGTGGGCGCGCTTGGGGCCTCTGTGGGCTGTGTCGGAGGGCTTCAGTAGGCAGCGCGCGGGGGCCTCCGTGGGCGCGCTTGGGCCTCTGTGGGTTGGGGCCTCTGTGGGCTGTCGGGGGCCTCTGTGGAACGGGGGGCCTCCGTGGGCAGCGCGTTGGCCTCTGCATGGGCACGCTTGGGGCAGGGGGTTGGGCCTCAGTGGGCTGTGCCGGAGGGCATCATTGGACAGCGCGCTGCGGCCTTTGCGGGCGCGCTTGGGGCATCTGTGGGCTGGAACCTCTGTGAACTGCGTGGGGGGCCTCAGTGTGGGCCCTTTGTGGGCGCGCTTGGGGCCTCCTGTGGGCAGAGCGGAGGAGCCTCTGTGGGCGCGCTTGGCGCGTATTTGGGTTGTGCTGGAGGGCCTGCGGGCAGCATGCTGCGGTCCCTGTGGGTTTACTCTGGGCCTCGGTGGGATGTGTGTCGGGGGCCTCAGTGGGCAGCGCGTCAGGACTTCGGTGGCACGGGCCTTTTGCGAATACATTTTGAAGAAATATAAAACGGGAGCCCTTTTCGTCGCATGTGGGCCTCAACCAACTCGACTGAATCATGAGGAAATCTCATACGACAGCGCCGTTCCTGAGTTCGGGGGCCTTTCCTGGCCAGGGGCTCTCGGAGTAAATCGTGAGGAAGTATCGAGCATGAACCTTCGTCGTCGTGGCTGGTCCCCCGCCAACTTGATTGGATCGCTAGGAAGTCTCGAGCGAGAGCGCCGTTCCTGAGTTCGGAGGCCTCTCTGGCCAGGGTGTCTCGAAACAAACTGTTGGGAAATATCAGACGGGAGCCGTTGTTGTCGTAGCTGGGCCTCCAAACGCGAGCTTTTAGGGCCAAACCAACGCTCGAGCGGGAGCCTCGCTTTCAGAAAACATGTAGCCGACATCGAGGCCAGAGCGACCGGAACCGTTTCCAGATATCAGCAATAATGATTCTCTAGAAATGAGAATTCGATAACAACAACCAACAACACCAACAACAACAGCGATAACCACAACAGCAACACCAACACAAACAGCAACAGCAACAGCAGCTGCAACAATCATTTCTTAGAGAATTCCCCACACCCTCGATACCCGCCCTTTTCGTCTTCGATCACACCCCCTTTGAAGGGATTATTTCTCTTTGCGGGGGGCGGCGGGCTTAGACAGGCGGGCGAACCTGAACGGGCGGACAATCCTTCGTGGGCGTACATGTGCCCGCCATTGGAATTGGTGTGGGCCCTGCAAAAAAAGGAGGGGGAAAACGAGGGAGAGTGGGAGGAAGGGAGGGGAAGGGACGAAGGAAGAGGGAAAACGCCAGGATAGAAAGAGCGAAAAGGGAGGAGGCAGAAAGAGAAAGAGAAAGAGAGAGAGAGAGAGAGAGACACAACAAATAGAGAGAGACAGAGACGGAAACAAAAAAGACAGGCAAGAGAGGCAGAGAGAGAGAGAGATAGAGAGAGAGGGGAGAGAGAGAGAGAGAGAGAGAGAGAGAGAAAAAAAAAACAACAAAAAAGGAGGGAGGAGGCAGGAGAGGGGAGGGAGAAGGGAGTAGGGAGAGGAGGGAGAGGGGATAGGGCAGAGAGGCATAAGGATGATGGAAGAGAGGAGGGAGAGAGAAGGGAGGAGAGGAGGGAGGAGGGAGGAGGGAGAGGGAGGAGGAGCAGGAAGGTAAGAGCGTGAACGTTCGAGGACGTCCTGGGCGAAAGCGCCGTTCCTGAAGGAAGCCTCGGGCGGGAGCCCACGACGGGAGCCCACCACGGGCGGGCGATCCCCTGACGGGCGGGTCGGGCGGGTGGGACATTCAAGCGGGATGCCTGAGTATGGCGAGAGCGCGATTACCAAGTAAATTGTAACGGCGTCCTCGGCGCAGCGTGTTTCCTGAGCGTCGAAAGCGCGATTTCTGAATACATTAAATGGAAGTCACAAGCGAGAGCGCAATTCCTGAATAAAATGTGAAGGGTTCTCTGGCGGGGGCGGGGGTCTTCATAAAAATGCGAGGAAGTCTTGGTTCAATTGCGAGGAAGTGTCAAGCGGGAGCGCCGTTCCTGAGTAAATTGTGAGGAAGTCTCAGATGGGAGCGGGGGTCCTGACGAAATTGCAAGGAAGTCACAGGCGGGAGCACCGATCCTGAGTAGATTGTGAGGAAGTCGCAGGAGCGGGGGTCCTGAGTAAATTGTAAGGAAGTCTCAGGCGGGAGCAATTGTTGTTGTAGTCCGGGGGGCCAGGGGCCCAGTTTGAGCTCCAAGATTTTCTCTGTCAAAATACAGGGTGCGAGCGTCGAGGGGCACACCTTGATTGAGAAAAACAGTATGCACCGGAGAGGGGGGATCAGCAATAGTTACTCTTCAGAAGTGAGACTTCAACAACACCAACAACAGCAACAGCAACAACACCAACAACAGCAACAACAGCAACAGCAACAACAACCACAACAACAACAACAACAACAACATCAACAACAACACCAACTCCACCAACAACATCAACACCAACATCAACAATAACAACAACCACAAGAAGAATAATCCGGGCCACGGAATGAATCCCACTTCACTCAAGCACAAAGGGATTATGTAAGACCGTTCGGCCCCCTCACTCTGAAAAACGGCCGACTCCAGAGGCTTCTAAGGAGCCCCCAAAAATCCTCTGCACAGGACTCGCAGGACGAGGAAAACGCATCAACAACACCTAAACGCAAACAACACGACAAAAACAGCAAACAGCACATACGGAATCAGAAGCCGCACGTGTTCTCTTATGGGGGTCGGCGGAATGGCGCAATCCTCTTGCTTCAAGGATGCCGACTCCAGAACCCAAGATCTAGTGGGCCCCTGAATCATAAGAGTTGCTTCTCCTCTTCCTCCTCCTCCTCCTCTTGATCGGCCAGCGCAGTGTTTCACCGATTTCTGCGTGTGATTGCTTGAGCTTGTGAATGAATGACTCCAGAACCCGTGCGTCCAAACATGTTGACGTCTTGCTTTTCATTCCGCCACCGTTTGAGCAGGGGCCGACCGTCCTAGCATTCCTATAGGCCTACCACGACATGTCCCTAGAATCAAATGTGCGAATAGCAACAAACTGCCCTCATAACACAAACCCGATGCGTTAAACACAGACGGTCTCAATCAGACATGGTCTGAAAACATCTCGTGCAAACCACAAACGGTTCTCAAAACATGATTTCTCTGGGTGTCTTAAGGAGCGTGGGGGGGTACCCCCCCGACGGGGGTCAACCTCGCCTCGTCGTCGCGCCGCGACAGGGGTCGGAGCGCCTTTGGCGCGCGGTGGCTGCCCGCGATGGGGGTCGATGTGGGGCTGTCGGCGTGGGTGACGCCCCCTCGACGCTGATTAAGAATCTCGGAGTTTTCGGCGGTGGACAAACCTCCCTTTAGCACACCACCCTTTAGTGACGACGGCCTGGGACCGAAACTGACGGACCTGGACCCGCAAAAACGACGGCCGCGACGCCCTCTCGCGAACCGAAAACGGCCAATTCGCTAATCGACGTGTCAGGGTAGGAGGTTTATCGGAGTAGCCCACTTCCCAAAATTTCGGGGGCCCGGCTTTATCCTCATCCTGCCTCCGTTGCAGTTCAAAGAAGGAGAGGGGAGAGAGGTCGGGAAAGCAGGCCTGCGGAGACGGAGGAGGCGGAGGCGGAGGCGGAGGCGGAGGCGGAGGACGAGGAGGAGGAGGAGGGAGGAGGGAGAGTTAGGAGAGCCTGTCAAAACGCCAGGACGCCTCGCCGCTGCTCGAGCACTCAGGCCTTCCGCTGGAGTGTCCGGCGCCAGCTCTCTTCTGCCGGCTTTTCCGCCGAGGGTCGCCCACGTCCCTGTGGAGCGGGGGATGTGAATGCTTTGAATGCCATAAGGGGCATCATCAGGGGCGGGTTATGTTTTGGATATCGGCTGCATTCTGGCGGTCAGCGGGGCACCCACGCTTCGTTGCCCTGCAGGAGGAGGCGGCGGGCGGTGGTGGAGCTCGTGGGATGGGGTCTTTGGGGCAATCATGCCTATATGAGTGGGAGGCCCAAGCTGACGTGTGGTCAAGCGACCCTGCAGGAAACGCACTGCCCGTTTCAGGAGGCCGATGAGACGGCGGAGGGAATGGGGAAGGAGGACGGCGATGTGGAGAACGACGCGGACGGCGATGAGGACTCCCCAAAGCCTTCGGCTGCTTGCCGTATGTCTTGAACTTGGCAAGCATCATGTCCATCTCGGCGTCCGGAAGCACCTTTGCACGGGGCCAGCCAGCACTCCTCGTCCTGTGACCTCGCCCATCCCCCGTCGTCGCAGAAAGGGTGGTCTGGAAAGGAGGAGGGAGCGAGAGATCGGAGGATGAGGAGGGAGGAAAAGCGAGGAGTGAGGACAATGCAGAAGGAGAAGAGAGAAGGAGGGGGAGGAGGAGGAAGGGAGAAGGGAGGAGGGGGAAGAAGTGAGGAGGGACGACAATGGAGGAGGAAGAGGAGGAGGAGGAGGAGGAGGAGGAGGCCGGCGAGGGGTTCCTGGAATATTCAAGGGCATCTCAGAGAAACCTCTTGCATCGAGGGCGGCGATGGCGGTCAATAGCCCAGGAGAGAGCAAGACATGCATCCAAGAGCGCCGATGGCCCATCAGAGGGCCTCCTAGATGGAGTCCGAGCAGATGGGGTCGAAGGATCGCGCCGCATCACGTCGGCGAGGGGAAACACGGTCTCCACATCAAGCCACATCGTCAAAGCATCGGCGATGCGGCACGATCCTCCGACCCCATCCACTCCGACCCCATCTGGGAGGCCTCGACTTAAGTCGGGCATGTCCTCTTACAGGCGGATTTCAAACGGAAAATCATACATATCAGAAAAAGACTCCAACATAGTAAAAATAGTCTAAACAATCGTTTCCCAATAATTCTTTTATCCGTTTGAATATTCCTCCTGCGCAGTCCCGGCTTAGGTCCAGACGCATATCTCCGGCGAGACTCCTGGGCGAATGCGTGTGATGCCTGCTCCTGGGCCACTCGCGCCTTTCGCCGCCTCCGACTGCAGAGGGCTCTCGGGCGGCGCGCCCCGGAACTACCCGAGGGGCTCTGCGGCCTCCTCAGAGCGTTCAAGAACGCTCTGAGAGCATTCCAAAACGCTTTGGAACGCATGTATCCTCGTCCTAGCCCTGTCCGATCCTACCCCACCTCCCTCCTCCTCCGCCTCCTCCTCTTCTTCTTATTATTCTTCTTCTTCTTCTGATTATTCTTCTTTTCCTTCTCCTTCTCCTCCTCCTCCTCCTCCTCCTCCGCCTCCTGCGCCTCCTCCTCCTCCTCCTCCTCCTCCTCCTCTTCC